AAAAAAAAAGGTCAGAGTACAGGTAGATGGAAACCCTCTGCCCGCCATGTCGTACTGTATTTCCCGTAATCGGTCGATTGCTTTTGTTATTATTATATGAAAATAGATATACAAATTACATGTAAAACATTATTTTGTAATTATTATTACATAATTATTTTTACCGATTTCAACCCATTAAAATCAAAATTTCGAAAAATCTTTTTTTAGCGGATGCCTAAGCCATAATAGATATCTGTATGCCAAATTTCAGTCCAATCCGTCCAATGGTTTGAGCTGTGCGTTGATAGATCAGTTAATCAGCTTACTTTTTTATATATACAGATTATAATTATTCGAAGAATTCAGTTTAGTAAGTTTTTTTTTAAAAATGTATGAATATACAATTCATTATCTTCTTTTTATTCATTTTAGTAGTGTGCGATCGCCTATCATCAAAGCCACGAGCTGCTATGCTGCTGATATGCATATATGTATTTTAACTATTAAAATTAGTATTGTAAATTGTAATATCGTAATATTCGAATTATAATTAATTTCGACATTTTTACAAGCCATTAACTGATACAAATCTTACATTCTGATATTACAAAAATTTGTGTTGTAATTTTACTATTATAACTTACATATAGCTACCGACTTCGTAATTTCATCATTCTTTTTTCCATTAGTTAAATAAATTTCATAATTTATGTCCTCACATCCTTTCTGAGGATTATATCCTCCGTTCGGATAAAATTCAACGTGTCCGGTTGTCATAGGAAATTTATCGATTTTTGCCGTATGGATCAGATCCACAAATGTCGCATCATCCTTCTGCAATGTTTTTCCTAAATAAATCGATGTTATTGATGTATTTATAGTCATGGGTCCTGTCGGGTTTAAACCTGCACGGGGGTAAGGTTATTAATTTTCGAATAAGTATCCAATATTTTCAATAATAAATAACGTTAATTTTAATTTAATTTTACATACCTGTGATTCTACTGATTTTATGTTTCGTCAACTTATAAAAATTCTTTCCACATACACCAAGAACATGAGCACCAAGATTATGTCCTATCATATGTATATTACTAGGTATAATAATCCTCAAGCTGACTAGTTTGATCAAAAAATGACTTAATGCAAGTCCCACTTCCTTACATTTACTGGCTACATTTAAGAATGTTTGGTAATATGTAATCCAGCCCAACGTTATGATGTTATAGCCATCAGGGTATTTGACTGCGTAAGCTAGTGCAAAGAAAGTTTGAATACTAAGACATAAAATACATGATAACCCATTAAAATTTATAAATTATCATTTAATCTTCTTAACTGAAAATCTTTATTATGATATATATTATTTTTATTATTTATTATTGCTCGACTTCACGGAAATATTGTGATCAATAATCTAACTATGATAACAGGTGAGTAGTTACTAAAATTATGTTTTTATTTCTAACCTTATCAACTACAATTTAGTAGCACATTTATCGGGTATCTGGAGAGTTTTACCTGCAATAAAAGTGCAAAGAAATGCTCAAAGAAAGTAAATACATGTTTAAATCATTTTTGCTCTATTTATACTATTTGTAGACTTTAACATTATGTAATTTTAATTTCGTTTTTCAAGTTTGATTAACTATTGTGTTTGCATAATAATAATATATCTTATTATGGGGTTAAATGGATAATTTTTTTTTGATGAGTTTCGTTATTCATAAAATGCATATTATAATTATTATTATTATAATAATTTGAAGTGCTTATAAAAGCCTACAATATTGTTTAAATTCTTTGAAAATCATACATCATTAATAGTAAACAATATTTAAATAATTAATGAAAACTTTAAGACTATGTTATTATTATTTTTTGATTTACGATGTAATAAAAATTTAATTTGGTTATGCGTTAAATGTTGACATTTTTTATATTTTACTTTTAGTCGAACTTATGAAATTATTAAGAAAAATTTAGAGAATTTTTCAATCATTTTTCTCCAAAATACCATCTTAATTAAACGTCCTATCAATAACCTTTTATAATAAATAAAAATAAATATATTTTTCAGTTCGTGTTTAACCACCGACCGTGAAACACGTGTGTCATCGCTAACGTTTTTATAGCTGCCGATAGCACGTACACTTATCGTCGTCCAACAGGTAATATGATTTGATTATTATATAACCCCTGCACGCCGTACTATCCGAGTAATGAATAAATCAAAGGGCATAATTCCCAACACCAACACTATTACTAATAAATTTTCAAATTCCAAAAGCTCAAAATCCAACGTTTCATCTAAATCAAGCAAACCATCATCTCTCAAACAAACAACTAAAACATCTTCGATTCCTCGATTAGCCGCAACTACGGCCGCGACAGTTACAATTCGCAATACTCCCCCCACTCACAATACCACCAGCAACTCGCCTCAACGTACCGATAATAAGAACATTACACCCTCCACATCTCCCGCACCGCAAGCCGATAACACACACGCCACAGCCGCTATCGCGTCTCACACTAATTACGATAATTCGATCAGTTCACAGCAATTATTAGCACATACCTCCAGTATTACATTAATCAATAACACAGATAATAATATAAATTTTGCATTTGCCGCTGCCATGGATAAAATTCCGAGCAGGGATCACGCTATCGTTTTTAATTCTATAAACGGTGTACCTCAAATACAATATATTTTAGCGATCGGAAAAATAGTTCAACCCAATAACATAAAATTCGTCTCTAGAATATCTAATAATCGTTTCTGTATTTTCTTGTCAAACAAACAAATTTTGAACAACTTAATGCAAACAACAAACCATATTAATATTCACGACCATGTTATTCAAATACGCAGACTTATAAATCCAGCAAAAAGATTTATCATATCCAATGTATGTCCATCCATTCCAAACCAAGCAATTGTAGATGCCTTAAAAAAATCAAATATTGTTCCAATTTCACAAATTACACACCTCAAAGCCGGAATCAAGGTAGAAGGCTATGAACATATAATGAGTTTTCGCCACCAAATTTATATAAATTACGATGATGTCCCTAAGCTTCCCAGCTCATTACTAATCCATATAAACGATAATCAATTCCGTATATTTTTTACTGATGACAAAATAATTTGTTTTTTATGTAAATAGGTTGGCCACACAACAACTAACTGTAATAAAAACACCGAAGATAAATTTAAAAGTGATCACCCGTCTGCTTTTAATGCTACTAACACTCTTGATATTACCACTGAAGTACAAATAGAAGACACTTTCCCACCCTCAACACCTGATTTAGAATTTATTGAAAAAAATACTATGGACTGGTCAAAAGAATCAGAGCCCTCTTCATCATCAAACGTCACTCCGGATGTATCCAACCACTCTCCTCGAAACGATACATACAAAATACCATTCTCCTAATCATCATCCTCAAAATCCCCCTCCTCACTGAACAATTTAAATACCCCCACGATTATTCCGACCAAGGAAAAAGTCCAAAAAAAAACTCAAAATACGTTCGCGATCAAACTCGTCAAACAGACAAGAAAATGCCTACGAAGAGGGCCTAAAAACAGTGGAAGAATTTTTCACCGCCAATGATTCTTCACCAATTACTTTCCTTCAATTTAGATACATCTTAGACAATTTTACTCTCAAATCAATGAACATCCACACGCTGATCAAAAATGCAAATACTGATTTAATATCCCTAATGGACTTATTAGACTCGATCCAAGAGATAGTAAAAGATCGTAAACTCAAAATACGTCTTTCAAAGTTAGCTCAACTTCTGTTTCAAGCACTACCTCTTCAATAAACCTCTGTATAAGCCAACTCAATCAATACAACACACACATAGCTGAACCACCATATATTCCCTCATTTCATAACTCACAAAAATATATTATCTATGAATCATATTATTCAATGGAACATAAATAGTCTTCAAAAGCACTACACAGACATCCACCGAGCAAAGTTCTCCATCCAACCCATTGCCTTCTGTTTCCACGAAACAAATCTTAGACCCAACGCTTCCTTCACGATACGAGGATACAATGGATACTTCAAAAACCGTCAAACAAATCTTCGTGCAAGTGGTGGTGTCGCCATCTTCGTCAGCACCCTCATTGAAAGCACGGAAATTCCCATACAATCAAATCTCGAAGTAATAGCAATCTCTTTACACACCAAAAATCCATTATGTATTTGCAATATTTACTTGCCTGACAGCTCTAACTTATTTATTAACTCAATGATTTAAACAACATAATCAAACAACTACCAAAACCATTTTTATTCTTAGGCGACTTTAACAGCCACAACCCAATTTGGGGATTAAACTACACCGATGCTAGAGGAAAAATCGTAAAAAAATTCCTCGACAATGATCAAATCATTCTCCTTAACACCGGAGAACACACTCGACATAATGTAGCGAATAATTCCTTCTCATCTATCGACTTGTCAATAACCAGCTCCTCTCTGGCACCTAAAACAAAATGAAAAGTTCTCACCGATTATAATTGTAGTAATCGCTGGCCGATATCCATAGAATTACTCGACCAATCTCCCCAAATACCTTTTCCCCCCAAATGGAACACCAAAAAACCTAATTGGGAATTATTCAACGACCTCATAAGTCAATCAATCACGGAGAATCTAATAGAAATTGATTTTCCCATCAATCAAACCGTAATAAATTCTTTAACTAATAACTTTACAGATACTATCCTAATGGCAGCTACTAAGGCAATAGGTAAAACTAACCATAACACTAAAAATAATCTAGTTCCTTGGTGGAATCATGAATGCAATGAATCAATAAAATTGTACAAAAGATGTCTAAATAAATTTAAAAAATCAAAATCCCCTCTCGACAATATTCAACTTAAAAAAGTCCGAGCTCACTCCAGATTTATCACCAAAAAGAACAAAACAGAAGCATGGAAAAAATATACCAGCTCCATTAATACCAACACTCCCTCAACGGAAATCTGGAATAAAATCAAAACAATAAAAGGCATATCTTACCACCGTTTACCCTCGATTCTACAACATAAAAATACTTCACTCTCAACACCATCGGATATATCCAAAGCCTTCGCGGAAGTCTTCCAAAAAAACAGCAGTAACTCAAATTACGACCCAGAATTTGCCTCCTTCAAAGACAATTTTGAAAAGTACACTTCAAACGAACCAGAGTCAGAATCTCATCCACACTTAAATTTCTTAAACATGCCTTTCAGCACTTCTGAAATGTTGAACGCTAGATCAAACTACAACAGCAAAAGCCCTGGACCAGACGATATACCATACTCTTTCATCAAAAACCTCCCTAGCAATGGCCAAAATCAACTATTTTAAATATATAATTTAATCTGGGAATCAGTTTTTTATCCTGATTCATGGCGCAATGCAATAATCATACCGATTCCCAAACCCAACAAAAACAAATTCAACATATCCAATTACAGACCAATTTCCCACATAAGCACACTAAGTAAACTTCTAGAAAAAATGGTTAACAAACGCCTAACATGGTTTCTTGAAACTTCTAAACTTCTACCCAACAACCAATGTGGTTTTAGGCGAAACCATTCAACTTTAGATCACCTCTCATGTCTACATACGGATATCTGCAATGCAATAAATACTAAACAACATCTCATACTTTAGTATTTATTGCATTGATGTTTCCATTTATGCCCCACTTATGAATAATATGAAGGACTCTGTAGCGCCACACCATGTCATAGGCTTTCTCAAGATCTAGTGCTATAACAACATCTTATACTTATAGCACTAGATCTTGAGAAAGCCTATGACATGGTGTGGCGCAACAGAGTCCTTCATATTATTCATAAGTGGGGCATAAATGGAAACATCCTAACATTTCTTAAAAATTTCCTCACAAATCGCTCGATACAAGTCAAAGCTCACCACAATTTATCCAACTTGTATCCCACAGAAAATGGCCTTCCCCAAGGATCGGTCCTCAGCGTAACATTGTTCCTTATAGCCATATATGACATATTTCTCCAAATTCAAAAACCCACCTAACACCTAATCTTCGCTGATGATTGCTACGTATACTGTAGTGGCAACAACATAAATACTACCCGGGAAATCCTTCAAACCGCTCTCCATCCTCTACAAGAATGAGCCAATAAATCCGGATTCATTTTTTCTCCTCAAAAAAGCAAAGGCATACATTTCAATCACAATTCAGACACCATCCTTTACCTTAAAAACATTCAAATCCCCTTTTATAAATCACTTCGTATACTAGGATTGATTTTTGATAATAAGTTAAACTGGATCACGCACCTTAAACAGCTAAAAGTTGCATGCAAAGCCAAATTGAATGTTATAAAAACTCTCGCTAACCATACATGGGGAGCAGATAAAATGTCTTTGTTAAATATATATAAAACGTTAATTCTATCACAAATCAATTACGGATCTCCAATCTACAATACAGCCAAGCCAAGACATCTCAAAACACTAGACCCTATACATCACGAAGGAATTCGTCTCTCAATCGGCGCTTTCAAAACAAGCCCCACAGAAAGTGTTTTATGTTACGCAGGAGAAATACCCCTTCAACTCATAAGAGACAAAACCACTCTTCTACACTGTATTAAAAGGAAAACCACTCCCAACCACATAGGCCATATAGCTCTTGTCAAAAACCAAAGCTCAAATATAAATCACATTGTCACAAAAAAACTTACAACAATACACGATATCTACTCCAACTTATGTAATAAAATGAATATACATACCTCCGTCGAAAAAAAAATTATCTTTCAAAAAAACCCTCCCTGGCTATGGAACCTAAAATTAACATTAGATCTACTCACACTCTGCAAACATGAAATAAACCACAAGATTATAACATCTCATTTTCACCAAATTATTCTATCACGTTTCCCTAATCACATTCTAATCTATACGGATGCCTCAAAGTCCGAAAACGGTGTTGGCTTTGCAGTTGTTCATAATCAAACGACTATTAAACACAAGCTTCCCACAATAACAAACATATTCACCGCCGAAAACTACGCAATACTCGAAGCAATTAAACTAGCAAATTCGCTTCAAACAAATAACTTTTTGATTATCAGCGATTCCCTCAACGTCCTAACAGAACTAAAAAACCCGTGGCCTAGAAATAAGATCACTCAAATTACCCAATCTGAACTAATCAACACCCAGAAAACCTTCGAATTTATATGGGTACCTTCCCACGTAGGAATAAAAGGTAACGAAATGACCGACGAAGCAGCCTCCCTTGCCTCTAATGTTCTACCCAACAGCACCATCGACAAAATATCATCCTATGATATTTTCACGTCCATCAAAAATAAAATCTTTTTGTCATGGCAATACCACTGGGACTCCATTCCGCCTACCAACAAACTTAAGCACATAAAAAGTTCCATGAAACAATGGTTTACACTTCCGGACCTCAACCGACGTCAAAATATTGCCATCACCAGCATTAGAATCGGACACATTTATCTCACACACTCTTTCCTTATCAGTAAAGCCTGTAAACCTTTAAATAAAAAAAATAAAAATATATATTTTTATGGTTATGCCAATAATTTTTTTATTTCACTCAAAATTTAAAATCACAAAATATATTAAAATGTTTGATTTTCAATTATAGTTAAGAATCTCTAGAAGCCGATAATAAATGTGCAAAATGTATTATTGTTAATCAATTACCGTGAATTAAGGTTTAATATTTAGGGGTTTGGTAAGCATAATTATAATTTTAGTAACATCATAATTGGCAGCGCCGGCGGAAGGGCAGGGCAGAAGGGGCAGCTGCACAGGGCCCCGCCATTTTAGGCGCAGGGCCCCTAAAATGGCATGTAATAATTTGTAATACTATAAATTTGTTTTTAATATTAAAAATACAAGTCCCGTCTGTAGTGGTGCCTGGGTTTTTAATGGAGTGCATATCAAAAAAAAAAAAAATGTAACCAATATATTATGTTACGAATAATTTTATGAATATTTAATTATAATTTCGATAGAAATCAGAAATGCGATTGTTGTTTTAAATTTACGATAGTGATTGATGAATATTATCAGCTTATATAATAATACGCGTGAGAGTAAAAATAAATTATAAGACTGACTAACAACGGCAACGGCGACGTCTAAAATAATTCGCTGAAAACAATGTAATTTATTATGTGTACATCAATTCCAATAATTCCATTATAACCCGGATTGCGTGTTTTTCTTTCCGAAAATACGTATAGTTTATCGTATTATTATTCATTTATAGTTGAAGAATGATTGTGTACTCCTTATCTTGTATGTGATGGGTGTCCGCATGACCACAAAGACACAATCGGAGTGTACTTTCTGTTGTCATTTCATTTTTTTTTCATTTTAGAGTATTAGACAACTTATATTGGACTGTCTAGTTGTGCGATAACGAATCAATCCTCGACGTACTCTTGTTACGATTATATATGTATTTAACATTGTTTATCGGAAATCGCTCACAACTAGGTCTGTAAAATATATTATTTCTAAATAATTAAAAAAGTAAAAAAACAATTTTGATGTTAAAATGTTGAATTTTTTTTAATTTTTGTGTAGTTAACTTGTATTAATTGTACCTTAATATTTGATCTATACATATTTTATTTTAATACGAAAAATTTTAGGGGTTATGTAAAATAGAAAAAAAATGTATTTTTCTTCTTTAATTTGTATAGGGCCCATGAAAAAAATATGCCCTGGGCCCCGCAAAATCTCCCGCCGGCACTGATAATTGGTCTCTAGTTGCGTCTGTCTTATTCTAATTGAAAAGTTTAAAACATTATTTTATTAACTACTCACCTGATATCATAGTTTGGTTATTGATCACAATATTTCCCTGAAGTCGAGCAGTAATAAATAATAGAAATAATATAAATAATTGACAAAAGAAACAGCTTTTTCACATAATTATGTGTTTTTAAAATTGAGTTATTAAACCAGAGTCTAAGGATGATAACGCACATTCAAGCCTCCCTTTTTCCTATGTCAAAAACGTAAATTGAAACTTTTATTTCATGTGCTTTTATTCGATTTGCGATTTATTTTGTAAAAGTTATAGAATTAAAATAGAGGCTTGGCTTAGATTTATATTTTTACTGAAAATTCCAATAGATTCTGTACTTTGTCCTACGATCATACGTTTTTCAATTCTAATCGTGTGCTACATAATATTTATTATTATTATTATTATTAATATTATTATTTACTATAGATATATTATGAAAATGACAGTTCTTCTAATATATTATTCACATAGTTCGATTTACACTAAATTTTTAATATCGATAATAATATTATATTAAACTCAAATTTTTCCATAAAACTTACCATTTTTTATGGAATATACTCCCTGGTCGTTATACTTCGCGATCCATCCATGGGTCACGATTATTAATGGTTTATCGGTTTTCCACACTTTCAATATTAAATTTATATTATTATAATTGATTTCATAAGCATATGTATTCGTATCATTTTCTCCAAGCCTGGGCATTAATGAGTTAATGAGTTTAGAGTTAAGTTAAATTAACATATTAACTTAATTTATTTTATTACTGATAAATTAAATTAAATTATTAACTTAACTCATTTCCTTACAAATTAACTTGAAATTAACGTATTATTTTTTCATTTATCTTAATTAAGTTAATTTTGATTTTTAAAACCATAAAAAGATTTTTGTAAAACATCGCATTCGATAATAAGTTCATCGAATTTAAAAAAATATAATAATAAAAATTTTAAAGAATTTTCAAATGAAACCATAATATTTATTTCGGAATTAACTATTGATAGGGGTCCCACCGTTCTCGGGAAAAGTATTGAACCGTCTTCAGATTGTTGAATAAAAATAGCCATGCCACTCATGAATTACATTACCATTGTCGTGAAAAGTGGCCGTAAATCTATATTACAAAAGTAGGTATATATTATCATTGACTAAATAATTCTTAATAATAATTGTACTCTATTATGTTTAAAATTATTCCATAATCTACGATATTATTAAGATAAATATAATTAAATATTATTGAATAAAAGAAGACATTTAATAGCTGATCAACATTTTGAGATGACTCTTTTATTGAAATTCAATAGGCATTTTGATTAACATATCCATTGTATTATCAATTGAAATTAAATTAACGGTAATTTTTAACTGAATTGATGTAATTCTCATGTGCATTTACTTAATTGTTAACTTAATTGACTAAATTGAGTTTAAAAATATCATTGACTTGCCCAGCCTTGATATTTTCTGATGGTAAATAACAGTAGGTATTTAAAATAAGCAAGAATAATAATGACACATGTTAACACTGTTAACTATTAAAAGTAAAGGTATTATTCTACTATCACCATGTTAACCATGTGACCCACGTTGCCGAAATCACGACAATCATATAAGTCAATCTTATTTACAGCCGAATTCGGTTTTCACACTATACCTGATATAGTTGAAAATAACCAACTGTTATACATTTTATTTGAATGAGATTACTATTGACCGTGCTGAGAAGTGATACTCGATATAAATAAATGATTGTAAATTAAAATGATTTATATTATAGGCATTATTTATAATTTCTTAATATAATTAATATATCAGTTAAACACCGATACACATCATCATGGTATTGAAAGATTAGTTCGGAGCACTTCACTGTTTAAAACATTAATCTATTCGGTCGCTTAGAGAGGACATTTTAGTTGAGTTTTTCGCCACTATTTTATTTGGTGCCTAAAACTGAACTTTATTAAGGTGATTTGTTGGTAACGGTTATTTGTAGGTTTTTTCCTCCAAAAATGATGAACTTAAAGTCCAATGAGAAGATAATCTCGGGATAAAACTTAAAAATAATTTATTATTTGTAAAAAACTTTTTAAATCAAATGATTTAGAGCAACAATTGATTAAAAATATCATGATGGAAGTATTATATTTACTGTGAGTATTTTATTTACAAAATATCTTTCTAGTTTTCATATTCTTCAACATACATATCAATAATGAATATTTCAAAAATGGGTATTAATTGATTGATTATTGACACATAATGTATTAAGGATATTTAAAAATATTCAGTTTTAAATATAATTTTGTAAGGATGGACCTGTCTAAATCAAGGCTTAAGCATAATTCTGTTCCATGTAATGCCCTGGAATAAACAGCTTGTAATTGAGATGATGTTGGTGCAAGTTCGTCCTTTGTCCCTCGTCTAGTCCTCGGTCTAGAAAATGTTGATGGGTGTATTGAGTTTTAAAGAAACGATAACGATAACCTAACCTGGTTAGGTTCTACATAGAGAAATATCTGAAAAATCGTTTTGCATATCCAATGATATATACTCGTGATATTAATTGAAATATATATTTATAAATTATTAGGACATCTGGATTGATAAACTTAGGGTAATTTCGCGTAACGGATGCAACAGGAACAGTAGTTGGGTCAAGTCACAAAGACATTTAGTCCCGTGTAGAACTACGGAACGATCGACCTCCTGCTGTTTATTGATCGGCTAGTTGAAAGAATACTAAGCATCTATCCAGAGAGAGGGAGTGAGAGTGAGAGAGAAGGAGATTTGTAAGTGTGTGAATAATGACAGAAAAAGCTTTGAAGTTTTAATTGAAAAGTGTGAATTTATTTTCTTAAGTAGTGTCTAGTGAAGTTATTGATAGCGTTATTATGAGACCGTTTAATGTCAGGACTAAAAATTTATTTTTGAGAATAAGTAATTATTTTTATTTTAAGTTTATTTTAAACCGTTGAACTGATTTGTTATGGTAAGGTATATAAATTTTATACATATAAATTGCATTGTTTGTAATTTATTAAGCATTTTATTCAGAATTCAATAAATTATCCCATAATTATTTTAATTTTTGAATATAATATGTAAAAATACTATTAAATTATAGATAATAGCTTATAATTTCCTGGTAGGTAATTAGTAAAATGCCAACTAATAGTAATTAGTAATTTTAAAGATTTTTCAGTATCGTTAATTTACCATATGAAGGTCATATTAAGTTTTCAGAACTTTTTATCAAATATTAAAAAATTGTATTGCATAAAAACATTTAATAAATTAGGAAATTTCAAAGTTCAATATTTAGGCCAAAAGTGCTCAAATAATGTTGTGATTATAGTTATAAATTTTGTGATATATGAAGAAGTATGTCTTTATATATGGTAAAATTTTCAACTTCCTATCCCTATTACTTTTAGAGTTATAACTAAATGACTAAAATGTGAAAGTGAAAGTCCCGTTTACGGCATATTTTTACCGTATTTGCCCGTTTTTTTCGATTTTTCCTCTCTACTGGAAAAAATATTGAAAAATTCGAAAATTGACCCTGCAATGTCATTGCCAAGGATACCAGAGTGACTGGGTACGTAGTGGAATTTAATAGTAAAGTTAGCTTGAATGAAAGACAGAAGAATAACTTTTATGCAGAGAATAAGAGGTTAAAAAAGAGGATTATAAGGTAAACTAATTAACGACTGAATACTTGACATTGAGTCAGAGACGATTAAAAAGTTATATGGAGGTTGGGAAGAGATAATTGTGAGAGCTACAATAATAGCAAAACATTCAGATGAAAAATATGGAAAAGTGGGGGGAAGACTGTTAGAATAGTAAAGATATTATTTAAGGATATTAAAAGAATAACCTACTGAAAGAGAGTAAATGGATCCATCAGTGTAGACTAAAATGAATAAAGATAAACTATCACTAATGTAATCAAGAAAATTATTGTTGACAATGGAATAAAGGAGGGATTTTAACGTATCAAAGGAGAGGCCTAGGACGCAAGGATTAATATTACAGAGGGTAAATATAGAAGAAATTCATAAGAAAGATTAAAACAAGGGAAAACGTTTGAGGTGATCAATGATAGGATGAGTTTAGGGAACAACACTTTTTTTAAAAAGTGTGGTCGTATGCTAAAGATGATGAATAGTAGCAGGTAGGTTTAAGTTGGTAAAAAATGTTTTCCATGCTGGGCGTTTTTCTTTTTTTAAAATCCATGCTATTGTAGCACAATATTTATTATATGCAATGAAATCATTTGAATGAGCCATTCAGGATCGAAATCGTGATTTACACCCAAAGAAGTTTTCATTTTGGAAGAATTGGGCTTTTGTCCAAAGCATGAATCGCCACCCGAAGACGACGAAATAATAGACTGATTACCAAACGACACTAATTAAAAGTTATGTAATAACAACACAAAAAGAATGAAACAAAATGACTGTTGGAACAAGATTAACATAATGTAATCAAGGCTGGGCAAGTTGAAAAATTGGTTTGTAATTAGTAATTTAATAATTAGTTATTAATTAATAGTTAAAAAATAAGTTAAGTTAAGTTAATTAACATATTTTTGTAACTTTGTTAAATTAAAAATTAAAGGATAAAAATATTAAGTTGGTTAAAAAAATTTTTTTATACTTTTTATCATACTTATGTATAATTTCAATATTATATGGCAATACATAATTTATGGCTAAATAATAATTATCAGTATCATATTATAAACGGTGGGAATTGTCTACCGGTTGGCATCTCGCACACAAATGTTAAACCGCGTCCACACCTAACATACAATTTACAAGCGTTTGGTCAAAGGTTCGTCAAACCTCCAAAATATCTAACAAACATGTTTGTTGAATGTTTGGTTGGTATAGACGTGTTCCCAAACAATTTTATTTGTCAATGTCTCAAACAAAATTGATCGCTAATTATTCGAACATTATGGCATATATTTTGTGAGAAATAAAACGATTTCTTATAAAATAACAATTTATTTACTATATATTATGTGTAATATACACAGAAGTGGGTTGATATTCAAAATCGGCACTTGACATTCTTTTAAAATTATTAAACAAATCACTTGCGTGTAAATCCAAAATGAAACGCTCACCACTAAGAGTTTTTCGGCATTGTAGTAGTTTCTTACCTATAGTTATCTTACCCACCATCGTCTTATACTTCTATCCTTCATTTTATTTTTATAGTGTTTATGAAAAATTGTGAATGGAGCTCTTACACACGCGAATTGCTCTAGAGATACCATAATCAAAATTGTAGATTAATGAGTTGATCAAACATATAGTGAACAAATAAATGTTTTGTTATTTGACAAACTGTTCAAGAAATATTTGGAAAACTTTTGACGAACATTGGGCAAACGTTCAACAAACAATGTTTTCCCAGATACTTGCTAAGTGTGGACGCGGCTTTATATGAACATGACGATTTATACGGTCACTAATAGAAGACTATTTAAAATCACGTTGTTATTCATATTAATACGACTCACTATACTATACTTTATAATCGGCCATAAAAATATGATTTCTTCCATTAAAAAGTAATTTTATAAATACAAGTATTATTCTATTTCTATTTCAAGTGGTGATACTACAATATATGGTATATATATATACATATTGTAGTGGTCATTTGGAATTATTATTATT